CCCCACCAAAAACACACCCCAAACCCTGAACCCTCAACCTTAAACCCTAAACCCTAAACCCTAAACCCTAAACCCTAAACCCTAACTCTGCGCCCTTCGCGGCACCCCTAAACCCTGAACCCGCGCTCCACGCCCTTCACGCTGCACAGGTCACCGAGCCCCTGACGCGTGCCAAGTTCGTTCCGAAGACTGCGGTTTGAGACCATGATCCTGCTGACGCCATGGGTTCTCCTACTACCTCCGTCTATACTACCCGCCCTAAACCCTAAACCCTAAACCCTAAACCCTAAACCCTAAACCCTAAACCCTAAACCTGTTCCCCCCAGAATTAAGGCTATTTAGGGATAGTATAAGGGGGGAAGTCGGTGAACCCATGACGAGGCGGTTCAAGTTTAGGGTTCAAGGTGGAGGCTGTTTGGGGTCTCGGGGGTTCGTTTTCTTCAGGATGACGGGGAGGTTCAGGGTTTAGGGAACCCTAAACCCTAAACCCTAAACCCTAAACCCTAAACCCTAAACCCTAAACCCTAGATGGCCGATGGCGCCTCTAGGCTTCGAAAGCCGGCGGTGCAAGGTTTTAGGGTTTAGGGTTTAGGGTTTAGGGTTTAGGGATAGAGTTTTTAAGGTTTTGAGGTGTAGGGTTTGTGCGTTTATGTGGTTCAGGGTTTTGGGATGAGATACCCCGGGCCTTCAAAGCTTCGCTCCACTGGCTATTGTTTTTGTTCCCCTGTTATTGGGTGCAGGGATGTATGCCAGGTGCTGGCACATGAGGTCTGGGTTGCGTTTTACTGGTACCCTAAACCCGAAACCCTAACCCAAACCCTAAACCCTAAACCCTAAACCCGGATGGTTATTGAGTGCACTCTGGGACAAGCTTGTGTCGGCACATGGCCCCTATCCTACCACGTACCAGTAGACTGGGATCCTACATGCGGGCTGCTCTTGCCCCTCTCTCTCTGTTGCCTTGATAGAAAAGTTGAGCTTTCCTTGTTGTTGATATAGAATTCCCATGCGCCGAGTTAACCCTAAACCCTAAACCCTAAACCCTAAACCACATAAGAGCCAGAGTTCGGGAAGACCCGTCCGCATGATAATACCTAGTGCTTAGAGCTGATCGTCCGTGTGCCCTCAAAGGAGGAGCGTTTGTTGGCAGAGAGGTCGCGGGCGGCTCTTGAGGGCCTGCCGCCCTCCGCCCTAAACCCTAAACCCTAAACCCTAAACCCCACACGGGACCGCTGCGCGAACTGTGCAGAGACATCCTGCCCCTGATTTTCCAGCCTGTGTGGCCTTCTTAGTGTCTCAGTTCTCCAACGCCTCCACGGATACCCTCAACCATAGGGCTCTAAGCTTAGGGTTTAGGGCTTAATTAGGGCTTAGGAATTAGGGTTTAGGGTTTAGAAGTTAGGGTTTAGGGTTTAGGGTTTAGGGTTTAGGCTAAGCCATCTAATCATAAATTTATATAAGCGCCCTTAACTCCTGGGGTCGCCACTAGATTTGAAAAATCTCGAGTTTTGAACTGCGCAAGAGGTGCTGGAGAGCCCTTCATGTTTCCTGTGGGCTGGGGCCCCCCGGAAAGCATGGAGCCTTCTTAGTTACCACCTTCTTGGGTCAGCCAGGAAGTGCATGTTCGCACAAGCATATTTATATATATATATATATACACAATATACATATACTCATGTACATATCCCCGACACCTACATAACCTGCAGGCTGCAGACCCTTGACCGTTTTTGTGTCCCCCAAAAGAACTAGTGAATTCTCGCCAGCCTAAATCCCCAACTTCCTTTCTGTCAGAGGCCTAAAAATCGACATATCCCCCAGAAACCTCCAACACCCAAACCCCAACAGCCTCGACATGTGCCTTCCTGACTGAGAGAGAGGGGGAATTATGTGCAATGCCCGACAAAAGTCTGGCAGGAGGTGGGACTCTTTCAAACCCTCAATTCTAAACCCTAGAACCCCAAAACCCTGAAGGCAGGACGCCTTCGGCGGGTCGATACCTGCGGGGCAGGCCTTGATGTTCATCTCTGAAGCCCAGGGGCCGATGGTGGGGCTTGTACTTAGTAGCTGAATGAGTAGGGTTTAGGGTTTAGGGTTTAGGGTTTAGGGTTTAGGGTTTAGGGTTTAGGGTTTAGGGTTTAGGGCTAGTACACTTTATGTTTTGAAATTCTATAGAACTGAAAGTGTAGTGCATTATGTTAGGATGTATAGGGTTGTAACCTGCATGACAAAGACAATCCTCCGGAGCTCTTAAGGGACTGCTAGACCCTAATCCCTAAACCCTAAACCCTAAACCCTAAACCCTAAACCCTAAACCCTAAACCCTCATAGTGAAAAGCAACCGCTTGGGAGAAGTTCCTCGGGCCGCAGACCCCGCAGGCTGTGCCAGACCTAGAAGGGCGTTTCCTAAACAGGGGCCACAAAGTCTGCAGTCAAGCCCTGAACCCTAAACCCTAAACCCTAGACCCCCCGAAGCCCGAAGACGTAAGGCCTAAGGCCTAAGCCCAAAGGCCTAAACCCTAACCCAAGAAATTCTACCCCGAGTTTTAGGAAACCCTCTGGACAGTTCGAGTAGTGCGGACCAATTCAAAAAAGAGGAAGGGGCCTGGCTGGTGGATGCACGCACCACGCATGGGGTTGGTTTTGGTTTAAGGGTTTAGGGGTTGTGCATTAAGGAGGGTTTATAGGGTTTAGCGTTTATAGGGTGCAGGGTTTAGGGTTTAGGGTTTTGGTTTAAGGGGTGGGAGTTTGGGGCGAGTTTTGTGAGTCGGGTGTCTCTATGGGTACTTCGCGATTCTTAGGGTCCTATACATAGATTATGTATCTATACAAGGACCCAACCAGGGACCCGAATTTAGGGTTTATAGGGTTTAGGGTTTAGGGTTTAGGGTTTGGCCCGAATTTAGAGAACTACCCATATCATCAGGGTTTAGGAGCTTAGGCTTGTGCGCCTTGGGCATGAAAACCGCCATGAGTCTTGGGCCAGACTTGTCTGGGCAGTTGGTTTTCTCTTGTAAGCCGCAGTCCTCGAAATCCTCGACGTCTTCGAAACCGGCTACGCCCTCTAGACCAGCACAACCACTCCTAAATCCCCCAAGACAGACCCAAGCGTTCCTAAGCCAGGGTTTAGGGTTTAGGGTTTAGGGTTTAGGGTTTAGGGTTTAGGGTTTAGGGTTTAGGGTTTAGGGTTTAGGGTTTAGGGTTTAGGGTTTAGGGTTCAACCCTAAACCCGAAGCCCTATAAACCCTAAACCCCTAAACCCTAAACCCCACGCCCTCAACCTTCTATGCCCTTGGCTTTTCCTCAGCGTTGGATCCCTCTTTGCAAACCTTTGCTCAGAGGCAACGAACTTACCCACACCAAAGCTTCAAGGGTAGGATTTAGGGTTAGGGTTTAGGGGTTAGGATTTAGGGTTTAGGTGTTAGAGAACATTCCCATTCTGTCCCACAACTTTTTCAGCCCATGCCAACTGACTCGAAGCCTCCTCGACACCACACTACCGAAGCATGCAGAGCAATGCCGTCCCTCGCAAAACGCCCATCCATGGCGTCAGGCAGAGGAGTTCATAGGACCTCTGGTCATGAGTGAGCCCCGAAAAGTAACCCAACAGTATTCCTCACATAAAACAAAAAAGCACATCCGGAAAATCCCTAAACCCTAAACCCTAAACCCTAAACCCTAAACCCTAAACCCTAAACCCTAAACCCTAAACCCTAAAGCCTAGATAGATATCCATTCTCACAATCCGCTGTCCCCTAAGTGAGCTCTTCCCGGTAGGGGGCGCAGCAGTTGGGCGTTGGAGTTGAGGGGCGATGCCCTCACCCCTATTTAGGGTTTAGTTTAGGGTTTAGGGTTTAGGGTTTAGGGTTTAGGGTTTAGGGTTTAGGGTTTAGGGTTTAGGGTTGTTCGCATGATTTCGCATGAGGACTTTCGAGCTCCTAGGAACCAGGGAAGTTTCCTCTGGTGCCCCGTTGTGAAGGGCGGTTTAGGGTTTGCTTCCGTTTGTCTCCGAAGTTGCTGGATTGCGCAAAGAGCTCCATGAGCTGAGCTGCACGGAGACCCTTGAGTGACTAGGGTTCAGGGTTTAGGGTTTAGGGTTTCGGGTTAAGGCTTCAGGGTTGATGGAGGATTCATGGGTTGGGCGTTGAGGGTCAAGGATACCACCAACTGGAGTTGACGGATTTGGTTCCCGCCTACCTTGCTTGGGACCTGCTAACCAAGCAAGGGCCCTGCTCATGGCCCACTTAATTACAAACTCGAAGTCCCCAAACTCTAAACCTTAAACCCTAAACCCCAAACCCTAAACCCTAAACCCTAAACCCTAAACCTCACAGCCAACTTCATTGCAAGCCCTGGTCTTGCATCTTGACGTGCCGAAGTTGTGGTAGGTTTCTTCGGCCACGGCGCCCACAAAGGGTATCTTGCGCCGCCAAAGAAGGAGGCTGGGGGCGGTCTGACCCCTGTAAACCCTAACCCTCAGCCTCTGACCCTAAGCCCTAAACCCTAGACCCTAAACTCCAAACTTTAAGCCCTGCAAACGAAATCCTTGCCTGAACCCCGAAAACGAACCGGCAAGCGGCCCAGTTAGGGCCGCCTTAGAGAGCTTCGGGGACACCGCACAGTTCGAAAACCACGTAAGCCGTCTCTGGGCTTTGAGAGCACATGACTGCCAGATAGTTACCATCCGTTATGGTTAGGGTTTAGGCGGTTTAGGGTTAAGGGTTTCGGGTTTAGGGTTTAGCTTTTAGGGTTTAGAGTTTAGGGATATGTGTGCATATGTCGTGAGAGATCGGGTTCACAAACATTTCTCATGCTGAGTTGAGTATCGTCATCACCCGTAACCCCTATACTCTGCATCCTAGAAGGCCCTGAACCCTAAACCCTAAACCGTAAGCCCTCAACCCCAAGCCCTAAACCCTAAACCCTAAACCCTAGACCCTAGACCCTAAACCCTAAACCCTAAACCCTAAACCCTAAACCCTAAACCCTAAACCCGCACCATGGTCTGCCACAACCTGGGTCGGGCGGGCTTCGCGTTGCTTGCGACCTTGTTTCTCGGCTTGCTGTCCCTGGCCTACGTGATGAACTTCCTGTGGCTTGGTGTAGGGGTTTAGGGTTTAGGGTTTAGTTTTTTGGGGTTTTGGGGTTTTGGGGTCTTGGGTATTTTGGTTTTTTTTCAGGTTTTTGAAGTGTTTGAGGTTTTTCTTTTGTCATTACTTAAATTCATAAAGGAATAGAAACTTACATATTTTTAAGACTATCCCCAACCATGAACCAGGTGGACGTGCAGACAGGGACCGGCGCCCGAGTTAGAGGAAGGCACATCCATCCTGAAGGAGGCACCCGTCCTACTTGGCCTGGCACAACCTGCCGCAACTAAAGCCTCAGCAGAGTTGCAACGAGAAGACGTGCAACCAGAAGACATCCTCTACGGCCATATTCATATGGCCAAAGCTGGAGGCTCTTATGTGAACACCGAGCTTGCTTTGAACTTTGAGCGCGTTTGCGGGCACAAAGGCTACTCATATGACGCTTTCCAGGCCAACCTCCGCTATAAGGAGCGTCGTCAGTACCAAGACGTTTTCGGCAGAGTTGCCAGGGGCTATGACCGATTACGAGTTCCCGAGTTTGTCATGGAAGAAATCGGCTACGAGGACTGCGATCTGGTGTCGCACGAAGTGCCATGGTCCTGGTGGAAGAAGTTCAAGGCATGGAAAGTTGAGTTCCACCTTCCTTGCCGAGACCCTGTCGACCACATCCTGTCGATGTGCAACCAAATAGGGAAAGGCTTTGACTGCCGCCTCGACTGGAGGAAGGAGGTTGAGAAATGCATCATTTGGATGAACAGGTTTGGCATTCAATTGAACTCCTCAGCTGAGTTTCCGAACGCCAGGCTCAAGTGCTACAACTTCTCGATGACCTCCAAGTACATCCAATACATGAGCACAAAGCTGCAGAAGAAGAAGCGCCTGTCTACCCTGGTATACCGTCCATACAATGATCCGAGGAACCCCGCCAAGGAGTGCCTCTTTAGCAACGAAACAGCCAACCACCTGGTAAGCACGTACATGAGGACGCTGCCTTATTACGCCTTCTGCGACAGGTGTTTAGGTTCAGAGCAAGATCTCCTGTTGTGAAAGGCGGGCTGCTACTTAGACAATCTTTCCATCTATTCGCCTTAATGACCAACACCTGACAAAGAGGCGGTTCAAGTTGAGCACACAGATTACATTACAAAGCCCCACACTCAACAAAACTTTGTCATAGTTGGGTACCATTTTTCATGTTTAAGGGTGCTGAAACCCAGTAAGGAATATACACTTGAATTTTTAATATTATCCCAACCATGAACTTGAAATGTCTGTCAGGCGAACCCGAACTGAAGTCAGTGGTACATGCACTGCCAAATCCGGTATCGGAAGATGGCTCACCAGACTAAATGCCAACCCCTTAAACCCACTCTGTTTCTTGTTGATCTCTACAAGGCGGGGCCCCCTTACTACACTAATTGTAGTTAAGGGACTTATAACCTACTTTAGGATCCTTATAACCCAATTTAGGGTGCTTATAACTCTACTTATAGCTAGGGGGCCCCTTGTAGGTTTTCTGTAACTGCTCATTCTTCGCAGTGCCACTGCATGGCGCATCTGAGTATGGGGGGAGCTGTTTCTGCAGAAGGAATAAGGATTTGACAGCTTTGTGAGCAGTGACATCACAAACTCGCTAATCTGAATCCTCAAGGCCCTCTAAACCATTCTGACAATAAGCCCTCTAAGCCCTCCTGCCGCCACCATAGAAAGTCCTCTCCTGGCGCTTCGGGCTTCGGGTTCGGGGTTTAGGGTTCGGGGTTTAGGTTGGGGGGTTTGGTGTGCGAGAAGCCCGTGAAATGGACCCTTTTGCAGCCACGGATTCAAGTCACATCCACATGGCCTAAAAGCCCAAATTCCTGAACCCTAAACCCCTAAACCCTAATTCTAAACCCGGGACTCTTGCACCCTGCATGCCCTGTAAAGCCTAGACTTAGAGACCTTAACCCCTGAGCCCCCAGCCCCCACCCTAGTACAGCTTGCCCTAACCCCTGCAAAAAGCTGGCTATCCTGGTTCAAATCCGATTTTTCAATAAATCAATTGAAACAAGGCAAAATATGTACAGAGATCTTTCCGTACTGTTTTTAGCATGTTTATGTAGGGCAGGTGCCGTAGTTTTGCAGGCCGCTTGATTAAGCAGAAGTCGTGACCAAATCGTAACCCGACAGATAAAGGCGGAAACTAGATGATGAAGATGTTAGGGTTCAGGGTGCGGCAATTGCGGATGGTTTAGGGTTTAGGGTCTGTAGGCTAGCTTGCCAAGAACAGACATTTGCAAGCTAGTTCAGTCTGTTCGTGTTTCGTCAAGCCCAGAGCTCAAAATAATACAGGGCTAGGACCCGGAGTAGGCCCTTATTTCCCCTTTTTTTGAGTTGGGGTTCCCTTCTAAGAATCGCCTAAAAACCAAAAAGGGCACCCCTTTTATTCCTAGGTTACTCCTGGATCTAGAGGGGCCTCAAGACCAAGAACAAGGTTTTTGGGGGGTTGATTATTGATTATAGTATCAGTATATAAGAACAGGGTTTTTGGGGGGGTTTTTCTAGTAATAAGTATATAGGGGGCATTCCATGGTGGCGCGCCGAGTCGCGGCGACCTTCCATGCGTCTGCAGGCCCCTGCGGCGGTTTTCACCTGGTGCGTGTTGCATTACTTTGCCGAAGGGCATGAGGATGCGACAAGTTGCCTCCAGCTGTCAAAGGACCCAGAGCTGCACATGCAGCCTACTTCTTGTGGCACCAGTGATGTGGCTTGCCAAGCACAGCAGCTTGCTTGTAGTATGGCCACGCAGATGGGATCAGACTGGCCGGTTTCATCCTATCAGCAGCTCAAGGACATCCAGGTTCAGCTGCAACAGGTCTGTCAAGGTGCTACGCCTCTCGCACGGACCCTGCGGAAGAAAGGCCGAAGGAGATTCTGGACCCGCGCGAGAAGAAGACGCTACTGGCCGAGGTTCGCCAAAAGCCACTTCGGCAGGTTTCCGAACACCGCGAATCTCGAAGAGGAGTCGGAGGAGGATGGGGTCGAGAGGGAAGAGGGCCGGCAGGAGTATCGCCAAGAGGGGAGCTTTGCCTGCCCTGCACCGCAGCAGTGCCTTGGATGCCCAGTAGTACCTTTATTCCCTTTTTTGGGGGGGTTTAGGTTCCCTAATAAAACCCTCTAAGCAAAAAGGGGCACCCTTCTTAAGCCTTGGTTACTGGGCATTTAGGGTTTAGGGTTTAGGGTTTAGGGTTTAGGGTTTAGGGTTTAGGGTTTAGGGTTTAGGGTTTAGGGTTTAGTAAACCCTATAAAGCCTAAACCCTAAACCCTAAACCCTAAACCCTAAACCCTAGGTGCGCCTTAGATGTGGCGAGCTATCAAAAGGCGAACCCTGGCGTGAAATACGCGAACCTCGCGGAGAAGACGGTGGCCAGGACCGCTGTCGATGCACTGAAGCTCGGGTAGGCCAGTGGTACCCTTTACCCGGTTTAGGGTTTAGGGTTTAGGGTTTAGGGTTTAGGGTTCTGGTTTCCTTTGTAAAGGGTGCCCTTATTAGAAGATGGCTACTGGGCTACCAAGGAAAGAGGTCTTGAAGAGTGCAGGTATGATTGCTCTCAAGGGATCTATTGCTTTCGCATTCATTGGCAACATCTTGAACAACTTCTTCCCAAGCGCTGGGGGCCTTCCGAGCAACCCCTGCACCTATGCCACGTCGCTCACTTCGCCTTTAGTTGAACTTTTAAACTTTCTGGGTTTCCTTATTTGGTAGGAATCCTAAAGTTTAGCCTTTTTTCCCCTTGGCAATTGGAGAAGTAAGGTCAGACTGGGGCAAGTGTGTGTGGCAGCAAATCATGCCTTTTGTGCAAAGCTTTGTGGCTCAACAATTTGATCAAGCCTTTGAAGAACTGTGGACCGCGAACATCAAGGGCTACCAGTTGAGGCTGTGGGCATTGAATGCCACAGCTTACCTAAACTCAGCACATTATCCCAACGGAACCGTGCGATCGATGCCTAACAGCACCCTGGACCGGATGTGCCTCGGAAGCAAGTCAAAAGCCTGAAGCTGGACTTTCAGCAGATCTTTTCGGAGCTCAATGAGTGTTATGCAAGATGAAGCCTCGTTTGGGTACATTTTCAAATAGAAGAGAGCACATTTTCTTAAGCTGCAGTTTGTTTGACAACTCGGTCCATACAACCTGGGATTTAGGGTTTAGGGTTTAGGGGTTAGGGGTTAGGGTTCAGGGTTTAGGGACCATAGAGTTCCGCCATGTGTGGCGCTGAGCGAGGTATACTGACCTGGCTGCCGTCCACAATGCCATGATCGGTGACATCAACTTGTTTATGACTGGCTATGCTGTCAACACCACGGCCGGTGCCTACTTAGCTCGCTTTGCGACACTGCATGTGGGCTTGATGAACAACTTACTGAGCTATCCGACTTACCGAACGGCAGGCGACAGGTACGTCTTCCAGATCATCACGACATGCTACGCCCAGAGCGTGTATCAAGCTGCCACTCAAGCCTTCAAGGCCCGCATGGCCACGTTCCGCCGAGACCTCAAAACCAGCTACGCGCAACTTAGCAGCTGAGTGAGTACACTTTACACTTTTTTGGGATACCATAATCCCCTATAGACTATAGAACTGAAAGTGTACCATTTTTTTGGGGGGGCTTATGAACTCAGCAACCAAGGCAGTGTGGAGGGCTTGAACCCGCTCTGTGTGCATTGTGGAGCGGGAACTTCCAAGACACCTGGACTGGCTGCTCCTGGGCATTCTCTGCTTCGGCAATCACCTGCGTCTCGGGGAGTTGCATCCCACCCTCGGATCCCCAGACTCCCATCGACGCGCAGGCGTGCTACAACCAGCACCAGGCCTGGGTGGAGAACCAGACCGTTTCGGCCTCTTGGCAGCCCAGTGGTACCCTTTACCTTTCTTTTTTGGGGGGGGTTCTGGGTTTCCCTTGTAAAATCGCCAACCCCATAAGGGGTGCCCTAATTATAAGATGGTTGCTGGGCTACAAAGGCCTGGACTAATTGGCTGGCGCTGCTCCCGTGGTGGCTAAGCAATGTCTTGGTGATGCAGAATGTTTCCGTGCAGAGTGGAGACTTCCTGTCGACCCTAAATTTCAAGTGCCCGGCCTTCTAGCGCAGGGTTTGCTGCTGAGGGTGCAGGGCTTAAGAACCCAAGACCTGCTTCTTTTGGCGGTTAGGATTCTAAAGCCCCTTGTACCCTAAACCCTAAACCCTAAACCCAAAACCCTAAACCCTAAACCCTAAACCCTAAACCCTTTTGAAGGGGACCGAAGAGTTCCCAGAGCCTCAGTCCAGCGTTCTTCGACGTTGGGCTGCAAAAAGCGCCAGAGAATCAAGCTGAAGGACTCGAAATGAAATGGACGGTGGTGAGGGTTGGTTTAGGGTTTAGGGTTTAGGGTTTAGGGTTTAGGGTTTAGGGTTTAGGGTTTAGGGTTTAGGGTTTAGGGTTTAGGGTTTAGGGTTTAGGGTTTAGGGTTTAGGGTTTAGGGTGGAGGGTTGAGGGTTTAGGGTTCAGGGTTTAGAGAGTTGAGTCTCAAGTTTGAGTAGCTAGCCCACTGGACCAAGTCTGGAGTACTACTACCAGCAGGAGCAGTTGCCGGAGAATCCCTAAACCCTAAACTCTAAGCCCTAAACCTTAAACCCTAAACCCTGAACCCTAGATGTGCAAATCGCAATTGGTCTGCAGCTGTCCTTGGAGTGTTCTTTGAAAGCAGAGGATTCCCTAAACCCCAAACACTCCAAAACCCTAAACCCTAAACCCCAAACACTCCTAAACCCTAAACCCTAAACCCTAAACCCTAAACCCTAAACCCTAAACCCTAAACCCTAAACCCTAAACCTCACTCAAACCCTTGCGAACGTGCTCGGAAGGTGGTCCAACTTCGCTCGAGAAGCAGCGCCCATCCCCGCCGCGAAAAGCGCTGGCTTAGGGTCTTACAGGGCTTGTGGGTGTTGAGGGGTTTAGGGTTTAGGGTTTAGGGTTTAGGGTTGAGGGTTTAAAAATTTAGGTGTCTAGGGTTTAGGTGTACAGGGCTTAGGGTTTATGGCGTTTGTAGGGTTTTGGGGTTAGACGGTGTTTAGTAGAATCGAAGTCCATGGAATAGTCTTTGCTCTATTCACATAATCATACAATCACTTCGGTGCTGGGTAGTTAACCTTTAACCGTTTTGATTTTATCCTTTTTTGGGCACATAATAGTACCCTAAACCCTAAACCGCATTTCCCACGCAAGCGACGCCGACGCCACCAATGAGATGTTTGTCTTAGACAACTCGGATGGATGGGCAATTCCCGAAATCCTGGACGGTGTTCTTCTTTCGGTCAGGGAGTTGGGTTTAGGGTTAGGGCACCCCGCCCCCCGCGCCCCCCCCCCCCGCCCCCCCCTCCCCCCGCCCCCCCCCCCCCCCCCCCCCCCCCGTACCCTAAGCCCAAGCCCTAAGCCCTAAGCCCTAAGCCCTAAGCCCTAAGCCCTAAGCCCTAAGCCCTAAGCCCTAAGCCCTAAGCCCTAAGCCCTAAGCCCTAAGCCCTAAGCCCTGAACACCGCACAAGAGAGCAGATTCTCAAGCCTCGTGTCTCGTCAGCCAGGGCTAAAGCTCAACACCCGCGCACGTCCCAGCCCGAAACTCTACAGGCTCTACAGCAGGGCCTATCTATAGCCTCTTTAGGAATCTTTACGTTTATTTTTTAACCCAGGCGATATTATTTCTATTCAGGTTCTGTAGGGTTTAGGTTTAGGGTTTAGGGTTTATAGGGTTTAGGGTTTAGGGTTTAGGGTTTTTCCGGGGTTTCCACACCAAAGTTCTGACCCTTCTCGGCCCAGAGAATGGTCCGCGAAAGCCCCGAGATAGCCCGCGGAATTGTCCAACCCAGAGACTCCAATACACCTTCATGAAGGAACAGATCCTTAAAGAACAAGAGGCTTCCTTATAATGTGGCTTAAGGAATATATTCCTTAACTCAGGAACATATCCTTAAAGAACAAGAGGGTTCCTCATATGGTTTATGGAATATCTTCCTTAATTAAGGGGCATTGGACTCTGGGAATGGATGCCTCCTGCTTGCGCGGCCTGACACACCCTGAGCTGCTCCCCTACAACCGCGCCATCAGCGCTTGCAAGCGAGGCCGGTCGCTTTGACCCTAAACCCTAAACCCTAAACCCTAAACCCTAGACCCTAAACCCTAAACCCTAAACCCTAAACCCTAAACCCCAAACCCCAAACCCTAAACCCTAAACCCTAAACCCTGGGGACTTGGGGCTCATTCAGGGGTTAGGTTGTTTAGGGCTTATGGGTTTGTGAATTTAGGGCTTAGGGTTTAGGGCTTCGGGTTTAGGGTTCATGGGCTTTAGAGCTAGGGCCGAATAGGGTTCTTAGGGATCAGGGTGGTTGAGCTACAAGACCCCAAAGCCCTAAAGACCCTAAACCCTTGAACACCTGAACCTCTAAACCCCTTAAATGCTGAGTCGGGAAAGGATGCTCCGAACTCGAAGTCTTGAACGGCCTTTCTCTGACAAACCCAAAATCCTCTTGACTCTGGGGTTTAGGGTTTAGGGTTTAGGGTTTAGGGTTTAGGGTTTAGGGTTTAGGGTTTAGGGTTTAGGGTTTAGGGTTTAGGGTTTAGGGTTTAGGGTTTAGGGTTCTCCAGTGTGGGTACCCTTCAAGCTCAAAATGCCGCAGCTTGCTTCTGCGGCGAAGCCCCGATCTCGCGGCAGCCCTGAACCCTACAAGCCCTAAACTTACAGAAAAACCCGAAACCCTAAACCCTAAACCCTAAAGCAGCCCCAAGCCCTTTTGAGACCCTGTTTTGGAAGCCGCACAGGCATTCACCAAGATGGGGAACCTCCTTGCAATTCGCATAGATTCCTGAGTACTGCGATCCCATTGTCAACCCCATAAACGGGCCTTTTTAAAGGCTACAGGGTATAGTAGCCCGTCCTGGTAGAGAAACGATCCTCATTCTAAACTCTAAACCCTAAACGAAGGCCGTCAATGGCAGGAGGCGCTGGACATGCTTCGGTCGGTGGGCTGTGGTGGCTTACAGCCCGACTCATACTTGCATTCGGGGGTGTAGGGGACTCGTCGCGGGGGTTTAGGTGTACTTGAAGGTTCAGGGTACGCTTGAATGCCAATTAGATCTGTACAGATCTGTACTGATAAGCCCCCCGAAGTCCCCAAAGTCCTGTAAGTAGCTTAGAAGTCGACTTATAGTTGGGGTTATCAGTACCCATAAACCTCCAAATAAGGCCGGGGGACTCGACGCGATTTGGGGTTTGGTGTTTTAGGGGCTCATTGCGGATTCGGGCGCGGTCAACGAAGCAGTGTGCGCACACCGAGTTTCCAAAACAACCCTTTAGGGTTTAGGGTTTAGGGTTTAGGTTTGGGGCTAGGGTTTAGGGTTTAGGTTTAGGGTTTAGGATTGAGGGTTTAGGGTTAAACCCGAAACCCTGATACTTGGCTCTGACTTGCTTCGACCCCGAGCCCTAAACCCCAAAACCCCCCAACTTGGGCCCTCAACACTAAAGCCCAAAACTGGGGATGTTCTCCTTCATACTAACAGTCCTCAATAGGGGACCCCCCCCCCCCCCCCCCGCCCCCCTTCATGATAATCCCGATTAAGGCCTGTTAGCATAAGGGGAAGCATTCGGTCATTATTCTAAGGGGAATCCTACTAGTTGGGGTGTCTATTTTAGGGGTCCCCTATTTCGTAAACCCCTTATGAGGACATCGTCACAGCATTAGACTAACAGTCCTTAATAGGGATTCTAGTACTTACTAGGGGAAATCCCGATGAAGGACTGTTATGTTAGTATGAGGGGGAACATCCTAACCCAAAACCCTCAAACCTACTTGGAGGTTCATGGGTACTTCTAATCCCAACTATAAGTCGACGTATTTCCTGCTTAGAGGAGGAGACTTAAGGTGCTTCTAAGTACAGATCTAATCGGGGCTATAAGTAGCCTGGACCTTCAAGTAAGCAAACCCTAAACCCTGAAACCCTGAAACCCTCAAACCCTGAAACCCTCAAACCCTGAAACCCTCAAACCCTCAAACCCTAAACCCTAAACCCCTAACCCGAAGCCCTTATTATCAGGACATCATCACCTACAACACCTCCATGAGTGTCTGCGAGCGAGCTGGTGAGTGGCAAGCGGCCTCGCAGCTTGCTTCGATCAGCTGCGCAGGCCCTAAACCCTAAACCCTAAACCCTAAACCCTACACCCTAAACCCTAGACCCTAAACCCTAAACCCTAAACCCTAAACCCTAAACCCACCCTAAACCCTAAACCGCCTGAAGATCCCTATAATCTCCGGGTCTGAAAAGGATCGCATGCCATGCATGCCATAGGGCGCCCTTCACAGCAACTCACCACTTTGCCCTACTACTGTTTGCTTAAGGTTTAGGGTTTAGGTTTTAGGGTTTAGGGTTTATAGGGTTTAGGGTTTGGGGTTTGGGGTTTGGGGTTTAGGTTTTAGGGTTTAGGGTTAAGAACCCCCAAACATCAAAGATAATATTCCCCGTATTGCCCTTGTACTATTGTTTGCTTAAGAACCCCCCAAATATCAAAGATATTATTCCCTATAGTGTCCTTGTACGGAAGAGTGTGAAGCCTCACGGCACAACTCGGATCAAATCACATGTGTCTGCCTGCATGCTACATAGACAGGGTCCCTCCTACATGGATACCTTTGTACAAGTTTTCGTAGCAAGTCCCAAAGGAACCATGATTTACGATAGCCATGCGGTCAGGCTTCCCCTCCCCCCCCCCCCCCCCCCCCACCCCCAAACGCTAAACCCCTAAACCCTAAACCACGAACCCCATTCTCGGGCTGCCACCCAAGCGATTCACAAGGCACCTCTTCGGCGAGGTCGCCCAGGAAAGCCTGCAAGCAGATGTGATCACGTGCCGCGCACGCGCGTTTGGTGTAGTTGGGTTTTCAAGGCAAGGATCTTGTTTAGGGTTTAGGGTGTTGGGTTTAGGGTTAGGGTTTAGGTTTGGGTCGACCCTAAAAAGCTTATCACCCAAAGCCCCTCTGATGCCGAAGCCGAGGGAGAAGGGGTTCCGGGTTAAGGGTGTAGGGTTTAGGGTTTAGGGTTTAGGGGGGTGCCGGGGAGGGGGGGGGGGGGGGGGGGCGTATTTTTCTTCAAGTGATGTGTTATTAATTAAGAGCTCGTCTTTGTTTTTGCGGGCGCTTTGAAAGTTTTCTTTGGTGTTTATACATTGGAATGTTCACCCTTGTACTAGCAGTCCTTAATAGGGTTTATAGTACCCCCTATTCTCGTCCCTTTTACGGACTGTTAGTATAAGGGGCAACATCACATTACATATACGTACATATACACACACACACACACACATATTGTGTTTTGTTGGTGTTTCAATGCCGTTTTAGATTGGGTGTGCAAACTGCGTGTAATATCTTTACGGATGCAACAAGATTTAACAAACCCGAAAGGCTGCGAATATATATACATATATAGATATATATAACTAAATGGCATGAGGCGAAGGCCGGCGATGGGTAGTTGGGACGGGGGGGGGGGGTGTTTACTAAGGTTCTAACCTTATTACTTTCAAGATTTGAGTTAGGTTGTCGTGCTTGAGGAGAAAGGGGGGAGGGGGGGATGGGGGGGCTCGACGTGCACTTCTAGAAACGGCACGCCAATGAGCTGAGGACAGGCTGCTTTTTATTTTGTTGCCTCATCATGTAAACTCCGAAAACCGTCAGGAGGACCTAGACACTTACCCTGCAAATATACTAACGCATGATAGGACAAAATGTGAGATATGGGAAAAACCTCCTGAATGATTGCGTGAGTATAAGTTAAATAGTTTCTGATGTAGATCTTGAAAGTAGCAGCAAACATTCAGCTGACAGCTTTCAGAGCTGAAGGCAAGAAGAGCTCTATGTGAATAGTAATTGGAGACGTGCTCGTCGATGTTGAGAGAGAGAGAGTGCTGTGCCTCATATGTGCGCATAAGAGCTCCATGTGAAGAGCGAATCATCTTGCGCAGCGTTGCTTCCTTGCTGAGGGTTTAGGGTTTAGGGTTTAGGTAGAGCATGGTCATAGTGCGAAGCGTTCGCTGGGATTCGATGTCTGTACTTGGCTTCGCTCACATGGTTCTGAGGTTTTTGTTTTGCTTGCAGCTTGTTTTGTTTCGCTCGCTTGATTGTAAAACTTGTCTCCGATCTGGGCTTATTTTGGGTTGAGTAGTGAGTTGGGTTCTCTATAGTTTCCTGTGTACGTAATTAATTGCAATCAGAAATTGTAAGCGACGGTCTGCAGGGAGAATGGTGGCACCAGCAGGCTCATGTGAGCGCTCTGCAACAGTGTCACAGAGTGTACTGGAAGAAGAGGCATTTTTGTGTTGTAGCGAAAACGAATGTTGACTAGTTTCGTCGGCCGGGGCAATATCTTGATGTTTTTTGATCAAGATTGCTTGGCTAAGGTGAGCAAATAAGATTGTTGTGTGTGGGGTTTAGGAATCAGGGTTTAGGGTTCAGGATCTAGGGTTCCCTTATCCAAAAAATGTGATGAGTGAACTCATGAAGGTTGTGAGGTCAAGGAGGAGGAGGAGGAGTTAAATGGTGATCCCAAGGTCGGATAGTCTTCGATGTACAAGAAACCCTTGTGAACTCTAGCGGTCTAACGTGTCTTCCTGAAGTTTTTTGTGAAGACCTACCAGTCCCATGGCCTCCACTTGGAGCGGGATTGAAAATGGTCGCTGGAAGGTGCATATGTGGAGGATGTGTCCCGACGAGCCGCCTCCCTCAGCGATGGGACGGCGAAACTCCGAGCGGTTCTTGATCTTCAGCTTTTGAATGACGGGGTTTCGCGTTGCTTGGACACAACGGAGCAATACCTCGAAGCCCGCTTAAGAGGCGTTTTTTTGTTTTTGTTTCGGTGTGTTTTCCTGATTTCGGCTGTAGACATGAATGCTGTCGACTTCACATCGGCTCGAGCAAAAACATGTGGTGCTATCCGCCCCGCGCAGTCTCTGAACAAGTTCGCAGATTGTTGAAGTTGCAGGGCCATGTCAGAAATTTCCATGCCCATCCCAGCGTGAGCTCGCAAATTCCTTCCCTGCAGGGTGGGGATGTTCGAAGGAAACATGTTGTTTTTGTTTTTTCAGCTTGCTTTGGAACCTTCGTAAGGAGTAACAATGAAAGTTATTCGGGTAGACCTTTCCTCCAAGCCTCACTGCCTGACATGGCCACCGGGAAGTGTCCTTGACCCTATGTAGCCCTACACCCTAAACCGCAAACCCTCCCTGCAGCGTCAGGTACAGCGCTGCGGTGGGAGCTTGCGAGAGGTCCTCGAACTGGCAGCAAGCCTTGGAATACTTGACAGGCCCTGTTGGAGGGTTTGCATTGTAGTATAGGGGCCCACGAGGGCGAATAGAGAGGTCCACGTTTGCGTTGAAGAGTGAGTTGCACGATGGCTAAACCCTGCCCGAATCCGTGAAAAAACGCCTGTGCGTCAAACAAACCGAGATTGACAAAGGAGTCGCAATATCTGGCAGCTGCTTGACACCAGAACGTGCTCCCTCTACCCTTTGCAACTCCTTGCTTACGTCATATATATATACACACATACATATACATATAGTTGTAGCGGCACGCCTTTAAAGTCAATTGCCGTGCCGTTGATATTTACATAAACTCCTCCCTATGAAAATCAAATGAAACTCATGAGCCGTTTACAGAGGGTGAAAACCAGCTTGGACTGTTCGGGTGGCACACTAAAGCAGGTGCCGCACCGTATGCCTTTATCCCTACGCCCTAAACCCTAAGGGCCTCAAGCCTACCCCGCCACCCGGCCCTCCTTTTCACCACAAGGAGTCCACAAACGGGCGCTCCGAAAATTAACCCCAAACCCGAAACCCTAAACCCCAAACCCTAAACCCCGCTAGGCCTGGAGTCCGCGTCCTTGCAAGCCGACGCCGTCCTCTACGGAGCTGCAGTGGCCAGGGTCCAGTTTAAGGTTATAGGGTTTAGGGTTGAGGGTTTAGGGTTTGTAGGGTCTGTAGGGTTTATAAGGTTCAACGCGGTTCGAGGGCATATAATTAGGGCTTATAGGGATAAAAAGAGGTTAAAGGGCATTTTGGGTTTTGGGGTTCAAAGAGGGTTTATGTAGGGGTTAATTACAGGGCTTTAAGGGCTTGTAGAGTTTAGAGATTTAAACGGTTGAAAGGGTTTGTAGGGTTCAAAGGGCTTGGGGGATTTAAACGGCTTGAGAGTTTGACAGTTTGAAAGGGTTTAAAGGGCCTGGGGCTTTTGAGGGCTTATGGTTTCAAGTTCCTGCAGCCCCCTCACCTCCCTTAAACCCTACAAACCCTGAAGCCTAAACCCTAAACCCCAAACCCTAAACCCTGAACCTTAAACCCTAAACCCTAAACAGGTACCTTCATGGGGGATTCTTGGTATCTTGTGGGCTCTGCGAGGTCCCTGCAGGGTTTAGGGTTTAGGGTTTAGGGTTTAGGGTTTAGGGTTTAGGGTTACGGGTTTAGGGTTTAGGGTTTAGCGTTTAGAGTTTAGGGTTTAGGGTTTATGGTTTAGGGTTTAGGGTTTAGGGCTCCTCCCCCACCTAAATCCTAAAACCCAAGGCCCAGTATACACCCCGAACCCAGAACGCTAAGCCCAAGGTCAGCGCCTGCGCCAGGGCCGGGAATTGGGAGGTAGCCCTCGGGCTTCTGAAAGACGTGGCTCCCCGGCGCCGTCCACCTTTTGTTGGGGTTTGATTAGGGTTTGGGGTTTAGGGTTTAGGGTTTAGGGTTTAGCACTGAAATTGGGTTTGGGGAAGAGGTTGCGGTCGAAGCAATGCGGGGGTGTTCAAAAGTTTCACTTTACTTTTCCTGGGGGCCAGCTCGAGGTTTGGGATTATCCAGGGGTGGTTTTTTCTTGTGGTTTAGGGTTTAGGGTTTAGAGTTTAGGGTTTAGGGTTAGGGTCTAGGGTTATAGGGTTTAGGGTTTAGGGTTTAGGGTTTAGGGTGGTGCTCTGCGCCCTTTGCACTACTTCTATCTTCCCTTGAAGGTTTCGAGGCACTCCGTGGTACTCACCGGATTAGTGTTGGTGCAGGCACCCTAATCCCTAACCCTAAACCGCCCCAAGAAATTTCGGCCAAACACCTTGAACATTTCCAAATGGACGATGAGAGCTAGATCCGCCTCCTCACAAAGGGGGTTTGGGGTTTAGGGCTTCGGGTCCTTGAGCCCCTTTTAAGGGAAACCTCCTAGGAGCACATCCTAGGTACAGGAAATTCTTAAGGACTGTCATTCAGCGTGTCGATGTCTCCGACGGCTTGGAGATCTTGCGAAAGTGTAGCCCAAGCCATCGGTGGCAGCCCCCTGCAACCCCCAAACCCTGGACCCGAAATACTTAGGTCCTGGAACCGAGACCCCAAACCGTAACCCTGAACCCTAAACCCCTAAACCCCTAAACCCTACACCCTACAACCCTAAACCCTAAACCCTAAAACCCTAAACCCTCAAGGCCAGCATCAAGGGCCCAAGTAGGGCGGAGCAACCGGAAGTTCGATCCGAGGATGGGAAGCGGCTCTCCAGCGACGCAGCTGGGCATCCACCGTTTAGGGTTCAGGGTTCAGGGTTTAGGGTTTAGGGTTTAGGGTTCAGGGTTTAGAGTTTAGGCTTAGGGTTTAGGGTTTAGGGTTTAGGGTTTAGGGTTCAGGGTTTAGGGTTTAGGGGTTAGGGTTTAGGGTTTAGGGTTTAGGGTTTAGGGTTTAGGGCTTGTGCGGCTTTTGGGGGCTTCAGAGGGTTTAGACGTCATAGGGTTTAGGGTTTAGGGTAGAGGGTTTAGTTAAGGGTACAGAGGATAGAGGTTTAGGGTCTAGGGTTTAGAGGGTTTCAGGTTGAGTTTTATTTTTTTGCTGCTGGGGTTTAAGGCTTGTCGGGTACATGGGGTTTGCAGCGTATACAGGGTTTACTAAGGCTTTCAGGGCCTACAGGATGGTCCAGAGGGCTAGAAGAGTGCTTAGTTGCAGTTTAGGGTTTAGGGTTTAGGGTTTAGGGTTTAGGGTTTAGGGTTTAGGGTTTAGGGTTTAGGGTTTAGGGTTTAGGGTTTAGGGTTTAGGGTTCAGGGACTTTTGGGGATTTTTATGGTTTTAGGGCTCTAGGGTTCTTTGTTTTTGTTCTTAAGGTTTCGTTAGGGCCTTGTCTTTTTTTGGGTGGAGGCCGGTGCTGGCACCTTTAAAGACTCGTTGCACCTGCCCAGGTGATCATCTTCAACGCTGCGATCAGCGCCTGCGAGAGAGGCCAGGCAAATGGGGGTTACCGAAATTGGGGTTTAGGGTTTAGGGTTTAGGGTTTAGGGTTTAGGGTTTAGGGTTTAGGGTTTAGGGTTTAGGGTCACCTTTCGGGGCTTTAAGGGCATTCTTTTCTATTTGGGGTACAACATGGGTACAGTACCCCCTAATTTGGTTAAAAGAACATCAAGCAAGTGTGTTTCCGGTTTAGCGGTTTCTAGGAGCCGGAGTGCGGTCCGGTTCAAATCCACGACATGTATGCCCGAGGAACCAAACCCTGCTGCAGCATCTTTCTGAAGCCCTGAACCCGAAATCCCTACTGTAATCTCTGAGCCCTAAACCCGAAACCCCTAAACCCCTAAACCCCTAAACCCCTAAACCCCTAAACCCCTAAACCCCTAAACCCCTAAACCCTAAACCCTAAACCTTAAACCCTAAACCCTAAACCCCTTGAACCCCTACACAGCTAGGGCCTCTGTGTCGGCTGCCACAGGCTCCGCCTGGCGAGAAGCCTCCAACTTGCTGGCGACGGCGGAGGAAAGAGAGTTGAGGGCCCAGGGTTCAGGAAGTCCCGAAGCCCAAAACCCTAAACCCTCAAACCCACAAACCCTCAAACCCTCAAACCCTCAAACCCTCAAACCCTCAAACCCTCAAACCCCTAAACCCCTAAACCCTAAACCCTAAATCCTAAGCCCTAAACCCCAAACCCTAACCTTGGCTAGGATATTGTGGGGACCACACCGCGGTTTAGGGTTTAGGGTTTAGGGTTAGGGTTTAGGGTTTAGGGTTTAGGGTTTAGGGTTTAGGGTTTAGGGTTTAGGGTTTAGGGTTTAGGGTTTAGGGTTTAGGGTTTAGGGTTTAGGGTTTAGGGTTTAGGGTTTAGGGTTTAGGGTTTAGGGTTTAGGAGTTGTAGTCAAGCCACCAGGAGCACCAAGTGAAGCCCGACGTCATCTCGTACAACGCCACCATCTGCGCAGCTCGTACACCCAAATCCACCTACCCTCCCTAGGTCCTGGAGAGTTTCTTCAAGCTAGGCCGCGGTGCTACGGGAAGGGCTGGAGGGCTTCTGTGGACCTTTGGGGGCCTCTTAGTTTTTTCTTCCGATTTACCCTAAGCCCTAAACCCTAATTTGTCTGTTTTTTGCTGTTTACGATGTTGATAAGAGGGGTTAGGGTTTAGGGTTGAGGGTTTAGGGTTTAGGGTTAAAGGAGCTTACGGGTTTAGGGGTTAGGGTTTGGGGCTTAGGGAAATTGTAAATTAGTAGAGGCTCTGACTGTGGGGTGTTCAGTCACAGGGCCTCCTTGGCGCCAGAAGAGTCAGTGCTTACGGGTTTTAGTGGAGGGCAGTTGGTATCCCGGTTGTGACGGCGGGCATTCAAGGTATTGTGCCTACATTCGTTGGTTCCCTCGCCGGTCCTCCACAAGATCCCATGGCCTACGGCATTCGTCTTTGAGTTTCGCGCGCAGTCATTCTACCCAGTATTCAACGTCCTCAGCTCCAAAAATCGCAGACACCCTGGAGCCTAAACCCTCGTAGCCCCTAGGCGTTTAGGGTTTAGGGTTTAGGGTTTAGCCGAAGCCCTAAGGCTTACGAGAAGTCGGGGCATTGGGAGAAAGCTCTTGCCTTGCTCATGGCCTTGGAGGACTGCCTTTGGGTTTAGGGTTTAGGGTTTAGGGTTTAGGGTTTAGGGTTTAGGGTTTAGGGTTTAGGGTTTAGGGTTTAGGGTTTAGGGTTTAGGGTTTAGGGTTTAGGTTTGGGTTTATTGTTTAGGGTTTAGGGTTTAGGGTTTAGGGTTTAGGGTTTAGGGTTTAGGGTTTAGGGTTCAGAGAGTAGGGGTCTTTAAGGCCCTTTCAGGGGTAGGGCAGCGCAATCCGAATTGGGCCTGTCTGGGCATTGGGGTGGTCGTTACCCCTAAAACCCCCAAGCCAATGGCCCCAAGCCCTAAACCCTAAACCTGGAGACCCTAAGACCCTAAACCCTAAGACCCTAAACGGCTTTAGGGGCTGAGGGTTGAAGACCCTAAGACCCTAAACCCCTAAGACCCTAAACGGCTTTAGGGGCTGAGGGTTGGGTGGACTCAGCTCCACGGCAGGACGCAGGATTGCAGCCCGACGCGCCACCTGGCCCCAACTGGGGTTTCGCCCTAAACCCTAAACCTTAAACCCTAAACCCTAAACCCTAAGCAGGGTCGAAGGTTCTTGGAGGTTTTGACAGGTTTAGGAACATAGTTGGGAATAAATAGGGGTCTTTACAGGGTTTAGGAACATAGTTAGTAATCATGAACGAGGGTCTCAGGGTTTGGGTTTAGAGTCTCTTGGATTTCTGAAGGGTGTCATCGTGCACCTCACATGATGGAATGTTCCATAAATGGTCGCTCAAGATACGTCCCTAAAACCCTAAACCCTAAACCCTAAACCCTAAACCCCCATCATACCCTCAACCCAGGACTAGGGGTTGTCGGCTCCGTGGTGGCGGGGAAATCTTGTCAGATTCAATTCTGCAGGGAAGTCGGCCCTCTAATTACCCTAAACCCTAAACCCTAAACCCTAAAGAAAGCACATAACATAAGCCTTGTGTTGCCACGTTCACCCCCAGACATCTCCCGGAGCCCGCCACTTTTGAGCCCAGGATCTCCTTCAACTCCTCCATCAGTGCCTGTGAGACTGTTTCGGCCTGGCAGCAGGACAGGGCTACGTTGGAGTTTAGGTTCAGGGTTTAGGGTTTAGAGGGTTTAGGGTTTAGGGTTTAGGGTTTAGGGTTTAGGGTTCAGGGTTCAGGGTTTAGGGTTTAGGTTTCGGTATTATATTTCAGGATTGCGAGCCAGTCCACTTCACGCAGCCATTTTCAGACGAGCGGCTCCACGATTCAGAAGACTAACCCTACGTTAAGACCCTAAATCCCTGAAGCACTTGGTCTCTGAACCCCTAAACCCTAAACCCTAAACCCTAAACCCTAAACCCTAAACCCTAAACCCTAAACCCTAAACCCTAAACCCTAAACCCTAAACCCTAAACCCTAAACCCTAAACCCTAAACCCCACACCCTAAACCCTAAACTCTCCCTGACAGGCATTGCTCATTTGGCTTGACGTGGGCGCGCGGCGCTTGGAGCCAACAGTGTGCCTTGCCTGAGGCTCAGGCAATGTCCTCCCTAAGGTTTGAGGTTGAACCCTAAACCCTAAACCCTATAAACCCAGGCCCCGCAGCATAAGGCAGGGGTTTAGGGTTTAGGGTTTAGGCTTTAGGGTTTAGGGTTTAGGGTGTAGGGTGTAGGGTTTAGGCAGTTACAGCGGGGGGGGGGGGGGAGGGGCTTACGAAGCTTTAACACAGGCAGATTTTGTTCGCGAACCCTGCACGCTGGCTGCGCCTTGATGTTTTTTTCTCCAGCTTTGCCATCCCTACTACCCCCAGATGTCACTCAGAGTGTCAAACATCTAGGCATCTAAACATCTTATCCCTAAACCCTAAACCCTAAACCCTAAACCCTAAACCCTAAACCCTAAACCCTAAACAGGGTCACCCTGAGCACGGCGATCAGCGCTTGCGAGAAGGACCGTGCGGAGTTTGCTGTCTCATGCACCTCGGGGGCTTTCCCCTAAGACTCTCTGCCTTGGAGCCCCCAAGAAGCCTAAGCCCCCAAAGCCAAGGACAAATCCAAGAAGAGGACGAATACCCTAAACCCTAAACCCTAAACCCTAAACCCTAAACCCTAAACCCTAAACCCTAAACCCTAAACCCTAAACCCTAAGCCCTAAACCCTAAACCCTAACCCTAAACCCTAAACCCCAAACCCTAACCCTAAACCCTAAACCCTAAACCTTAAACCCTAAACCCTAAACCCTAAACCCTAAACCCTAAACCCAAACCCTAAACCCCAAACCCTAAACCCCAAACCCTAAGCCCTAAACCCTAAACCCTGACCCTAAACCCTAAACCCTAACCCTAAACCCTAAACCCTAAACCCTAAACACTAGCAGGGTAGGGAGCCATCCCCCCACCCATGCGCATCCATCCCCTAGAGCTGGGGTAGGCCGCCGAGTGGCGCCCTGCTCTAACCCTGCTGGATGAGGCAGAGGCCGTGCGGCGCGGCTGCAACTGTGGAGGGTTGAGGGTTGAGGGTTTAGGGTTCAGGGTTCAGGGTTCAGGGTTCAGGGTTCAGGGTTTAGGGTTTAGGGTAATAAAACACAAAATGAACTTGGACGTTTTGTCAAAATTACTTTTTATTAGTCTCTTCGTTTATTGTATGTTTACCTGCTATCTTGAACCAAGACAAGAACATTTCTTAAGGGTCGTGGGTGGCTGGGGGGGGTGGGGAAGGATCATGGCGCCGCCACGAGGTCTGTGCCGCAATAGTTCTTGGGAGTCTTAAGTGGCGGAGTGAGTCTACATCTTTTACGTGCGTCAGGATCGATGTACTTGTCAAGAACCCTAAACCCTAAACCCTAAACCCTAAACCCTAAACCCTAAACCCTAAACCCTAAACCCTATAGGTCTTAAGGGTTCAGGGTTTAGGGTTGGGGACGTTTGGAGCACAGCTCGGGTTCGAGACGCTGGTCGTTCGCGGACACGTTTACACTTCGAAGGAGGTCGGCTTCTATTCTGATCTTACTTGGAGGGCTCAGGGAAGGTCAGGCTTTAGGGTTTATAGGGTTTAGGGTTTAGGGTTTAGGGTTTAGGGTTTCGGGTTTAGGGTTTAGGGTTTAGGGCTTAGGGTTTAGGGGGCTCTCAATCCCCCAAACCTCAAACCCTCAACTGCCTGCAGCGCTGAAAAAGCCTCCGCAGTCTCTTGCGGCCCAACGTCGTGGCCTACAACTCCGCCATCAGTGCCTGCGAGAAGTCGGAGCAGTGGCGGAGAGGGCTCCTCCTCTTGAAGGACTGGGGTTTAGGTGTTGATGAGAGTAGGGGCGTGCCCCTAAACCCTAAACCCTGAACCCGAAACCCTAAACCCTAAACTCTAAACCCTAGACTCTAAACCCTAAACCCTAAACCCAAAGCCCTGAACCCTGAACCCTAAGCCCTAAACCATAAACCCATAAGTTCATCCAAGTTGGTTTGTGCTTCACGGGCCCCAGCTCTAGACCGCAAATCCTGTAACATCTCCCTAAACCCTAAACCCTAAACCCTAAACCCTAAACCCTAAAGCCTAAAGCCCTAAACCCTAACCCCTCAAAACCCTAAACCCTAAAACCTAAGAGGAGATGCGCTCGCGGCGCGTAGAGGCCGACGCCATCTCCTACAACTCGGCCATCAGCGCCTGCGAGAAGGCTCCTGAGCGGTTTAGGGTTTAGTGTTTTGGGTTTAGGGCTTAGGGTTTAGGGCTTAGAGTTTAGGGTTTAGGGTTTAGGGTTTAGTAATTTAGGGAAAGCCCAGAACAGCCGAAAGAACAAAACCCTCCGCCCTAAATTGAATGTATTTTATATCTGTGCATTCCCTCCACTTTTGCTTCCATGTATGTTGCACTTACTTGTGCCGCTCAAGCCCTCTGAGTAAAAAGGTTAGGCGCGCCCCTGCTCATGGCTTAACGGATAACAACTGGTGGATTTCCCAAACTATAGGTTATCAGCCGTAGGCTCCCCGGAGCTTGCGGCACCACTGACCTGGAGTTTCAACTCAGTGCATGGGTGACAGCCCCGAGCTGGTCCCCACCGAGGTAGCAACTGATCTCGGTACAGACGGATTTACAGACGCAGAATCCGCGGAGATGGACCTCTCAGGCACTTTGGCTATGCCACCGTCTACGGATGGCCGTGGCCTAGTGCTGGAAGAGAATGCAGCAGCAGCTAATGTGTTTGCGCCAAACGCACCTTCTCCTTTCGTAGGACTAGGAGCTCCGCAGATCCACATGTACCGACAACAGTTTCAGCAGAACATCACGATAGGTGAAACACCTGAACAAACAAGACTTCTCCTCACTGAGTTAGAGAACGAAGCAGAGTCCAGGCACCAGAGGTTCCGCCTAGCTGCTGAAGAAGCCCATGATCAACAAATCGCAGATGTTGAAGAAAGGGCTAACAGGCAGCACGAGGAAGTCGTTGCTAGACTTGAGTCTGAAATTGCTAGCCAAAGGTATAGCTTTGTCGCGAGGACCCAAGGTCTCTTTTCAGAACTCCAGCAACAAAACCAGATAATCAATTTTCAGTCAGAACATTTTTCCGATGTTGGTTCGCAAATCACACGTCTCAGGACAACTCTGGTTGAAGAGGCTGAACAAAACAAGAGGGAAAGCATTAACGAGATTGGGGAATGGTTTGGGAGAGAGCATGATGAGGCAATGAAAAGGTACCGCAGTATAGCCCTGGAAACTGAAGAGCAAATGAGGATTCAAAACATGACCCTCCAAGATGAATTATCATCAATGGAGCGTGCGCTCCAGCTCGAACAGGACAGGAATTTAGGTATCAATCCCTCGCAGCAAGCTCAGTTTCCCAGCGCCACTGCCCCAGTTGCTCCAGCGCCAAGCGCCGGGCTTAGTGCTCCGTGTGCCCCTCAGTTTTCAGATCCGAGTGTGATTCCGATGAACATCAGGGCATTGTTTCCAAACTTCAGTTTTGGCGGTGTGGCAACTACTGCCACTCCAACAGGACCACAGGGTCCGGTTTCTGCCCCAGGGACCCCAACAGCATCAGCTAACGTCCCAAATCTAGGATTCTCTAGTGGTGGTTTGAACGCCGGAGCCCCTGGTCTTGCGGCCCCAACAGGCACGCCGGGAGGTCCGGCAGCCACAGGAGCCGATTTAATCGCACAGACGCAGCAAGCGCTGCTTGAAGCCGCCAAGCTTCTTAAAGGAGACAAAAGCGGTGAAGATGACAAACCAAAGGTTAAAGAAGCTGAAACCATCCGCCTGCCGGATTTCCCTAACCCCGAAACCTACCGTGCATGGAAAACCGCAACACGGGAAGCAGTTAGGGCAGCTTCAGATAGACCAGATGAAGCCTTCTCTTGGATTCTAGAGGTGTATTCTAAGAATGCTGATCATGACAAGCTTCGTGAGCCCGGTAAGTTTCTCACGCTGGATACCAAAATCCTAGCCGCTCTCACTAAGGTCGCCAAAGGTGAGTTATCTCGACAGGTACTCACTTTCAAGGAAACCGAGGCGGTTCAAGGACGTGCCGTACGAGGACGCCAGGTCTTGCTCATGTTTGATCAGTACTTCAAAACAAATGAAGAGGTAGGATCGCTCTATTCGGTAGAAGACCTTTTGAAGGTTACACTGCATAGTGACGATCTAACCACATTTCTGCACAATTGGGAATCAGTCATTGCTGGCATGAGTCATGTCCCAGAAGAAATGGTTCTGCGTGATATCCTTCTTCGGCAAATCCGAAAGTCCTCAAGAATGAAGTATGATTTGGAAATCTACGACAGGGCGAAAGAGGGTTCTGCCTCACACTCCTATGCGTTCTTGTTGAAGTCAATCCGGGATTTGTTGACCCGTGAAAGGATGCGCAAGAACAGGGATAGAATCGCCAAGTCTCATGGGGACAAGTTTGGTGCTCCTGTTGTTGAAGGCGGAAGGCCGACACGCCCTCCGTCGAGGAGCGGCCGCGGAAGGGATCGCTCTGCCGGTAGCCAGTCCAATTCAAAGTCAAGGTCTCGCTCTAGGACCCCATCCAGATCTAGATCACCTAGCCGATCGCAAAGCCCAAAGCCAGTTTGCTACGACTTTCAAAAGGGTAAGTGCACCAGGGGTGACAAGTGCAAGTTTTCGCACAAACCCCGTTCGCAATCCCCTGTTCGCACTGCCCCGAAGAAGAAACAGGTCTGCACGTTTTGGAAGAAGGGAAAGTGCACTAGGGGAGATAAGTGTCGTTTCTTGCATAGGGAACCGAGCCCTGCTCCCCCAGGTGGTGAAAACGCAGCCCCGGCCCCTAAGGGCCCAGACAAACCAAGGTCCCCGTCACCCGCGCCAACGCGCAGGAAACCAAGCCGTGGACGCTCTAAGGAAAAGGATAGGAAGGCCGCATGCTGCATCTCGCTTGCGGCTGCAGCCTCAGCTGGTCCTGATGAGAGTGAACCACAAGATGGGGACGAAGACTACTGGGAAGTAGACTTCAAAAGGGGTGAAGCTGTTAGGCACCATCTGAAGTACAGAAGTACTATGTACAAGCCCGAAGTGTCATGTCCTGTTGCTCTTGAAAGGTTGAAGGGTAAGGCCAAAGTGATCAAGACGCTTCCCATTTCTCCATACACTGCAAAGGAGAACTGGGACTGGAAAGAGGGAAGAGGGGGAACCGGCGATAAGATGCCGTGGACCGGCAAGACTGTTTTCAAGATCAAAGAACAAAACAAGAAGGTCAGGTTTTGCGACAAACCCAAAGTCAGGGAAATCCCTTTTGAGGGAAAGGGGTACAAACATTCCTACAAAGTTCGCAGGTACAATACTTGCTATGCTGATGCGGAAAACTGCCCTAAGCCTGACGCTAACGACCTTCAGGTTGCAATTAGGAACGCAAGGGAACTCAAGATGCTTCTTGCCCGGCATGAGGGGGGAGAGAAGACCGATTGCCACTTAGAGTGTGATGAGCCTGATTCTCTCATGTGTGGGATGTGCAAGCACGTCGTTGAGAGCTCAGAGATCGCTTGTCCAGGGATCGCCACACCCTTAGAATTCCTTGCTGACACAGGAAGCGAGGAGGACCTTATCAGCGAAGCTGATCGTGCTATGTACTTCGGCGAAGAGCCAGTAGGCAATGCAACACGACAAGTGAATCTCATCACTGCTAATGGTAACGTCAAAGGTGACAAGTCGGTTAGGATCGACTTCCCGGAGTTTGGCAAAGAGCTAGAGTTCTATGTTCTCAACAGCACCCCTCCTGTTTGCTCCGTAGGCAGAAGGTGCATGGAGGACGGTTATGAGTTCCACTGGTACCCCAAAAGGCCGCCTTACTTTGTTGCGCCCAATGGTCAAAGACTAAGGTGTAGAATGAGAGGTATGGTCCCAGTGCTAGGGGGAGGAGCAATGGCCGCTCCAAGCACTAAGGAGGAAGCCTCAGGTTCTCTCGGACGACCAATTTTGTCCGAGGGTTTTCAGAAAACTGCCGCCCAATAGGGCCGGCCGAGGCTTTCGCAGGAGCAGCAGAGGAACGAGATCCAGTGGTCGAGCACCCCGATCCTGAGATCTCCGCAGCCATCAATGAGGTGCCGCCGATAGATATCCCCAAAGAGAAGCTCAAAAGACCAGGTTGGGTTTCGCACCCAAATGCTAAGTACTTGATTGTTGGACACAAACCAAAGACGTTTCGTACTGCTACACCAAGGTTTCCAAGATGCGAAGTCAGATCTACTTGGTTGTTCAGGGAAGGTTCTTGGGTCAAGGTTGAGGATAAAGTGAACGTCAGGGAGCTTGACAACAAAGTTGCCCGACTGGAGGGTAATCCAATCCTGAGCCTCACTATCTTCGAAGACCCCGATGTTGAACCTGACAGTGACAACGAAGGAAACGCCCGCAGTCTTGCAGAGGCCGATCTGAAAGCTGAAGCCAAATCTGTTGAGCACTTGTTCTCGCACAGGCCCAAGAATCCGTTCTGCGAGGTATGTCAGCGCGCAAAGATGTTGGCTCCCCAAGCCCGCAAAAAGGGGGGCTCAAGTACCATTGTGTCAAAGGCCTTTGGGGATCACATCACTGTTGACCATATCATCACTCGTGACCTTCGTGACCATGGGTTCCAGGACGAAAGGGTCGCACTTGTTGTTAAGGACGTGTTCACCAAATTTCGTTACGTCTACCCCTCTCCGACTAAGTCAAGCGATCAGTGTTTTGAAGACCTTCTTCACTTCCTAGGTCAAGAAGATGCAGTTGGCGTTTTCTACTCAGACAACGCACCTGAACTTCATGCCGCTATCAAAAGCCTAGGTGTCCGACATGTTACATCCCGCGAATATGTGGACACCAACAAGTCGGTAATCGAAAGAGAAATTCGGACGATTTTGGAGGGTACCCGCTCCAACCTTGTTCAGGCGGGTCTCCCCGACAAGCTTTGGCCGTTGGCCGCCCAACACCGCGCGATGGCACTTAATGCAACTAAGAGGCTTGACAACGGGATTGTTCCCTGGGAGGCCAGGTATGGGGAACCGTTTTCAGGGATCATGATTCCTTTTGGTGCACGTGTGTTGTACTGGAACAACCCCAAACAGAACATTCCTGCGAGCTCTAAGTTTGCGCCGACTGGTGTTGAGGGAATATTTCTTGGTTACCACGTTCAGCCTGGCTTCGTTTGGAAGGAGGAATACCTCGTCACCCCCGTCAAGGGTTGTGACTTTGCGT